GCAGTCTTTGGAAAAGAAAATTTAAAAAATTGCAAGGGGTAAATAGATCAGAGCTTCTTTTCACAAGCTTCTCTGCCAGGTTATGTCTGTACTTCAGCCTCAGGGCTCCGAGTGCAGCTCTCCACACCTATCAGCAGATGGACTGATAACTGAATGGTGCTCAGTACAGGTAGCTGCACAAATATTTACTCGGGGATTGGCTGGATTTTGCCAACCAGAACATATTCTGTGGCCTTGCTGTTATCAGCATCTGAGCCAGCTGGTTTAGAGCTACCTGGACTGTGCCCACAACAGCTTCATGGCTCTGGACTCAGGTGTTGATATGGTCTGTATTAATTCACTTAAGATAAGAGTGTCCTGCTCCTGAGCTTACTCACACGGGCACGTTCTTGCCAGTTCAAACAGTTCTTACCTCGTCTGCCTTTGGGACTGATGAAAGGCTGAATAAATCCTCAGTGGCAGGAGCTGATCTTCCAAGGCTCCCACAGGACGCAGTGGGGAGCAGTTTGGAGGAGCTGAGTGGAGAGAAGGTCCTGGATGGCAAGGAGGACCCTCCTGTCTCTGCTGCTGCTGCTTCTCCATGTTGGTCTGTCCCTTGTCCATCACTTGCCTTGCTGTGGTGCTGGCCCTCAGCTGCTCCTTGGCTGGCTGAGTCACCTCCTTATACCAGGGGACAAGTAACCTTAGCAGAAGAGAAGACAAAAGGGATTATTTTCCACTTAGAATCGGTTCACTGCAGGGTCAGGTGAGTGCCTGAGCCTGTGCAGGAGAAGTGAGGGACCACACATCCAGCAGTTCAGGTGGAGGGGAAGCTGAGCCTTCCCAGCACCAACAAGTGACCCATCTCCTGACATTTTGCCCTTAAACCTTTGGATGTGAGCTGTAGAGGGGCCTGTCTTTCTCCAACAGCTGTGGATCAGCCTCCCTAAAGCTGGAGATATCTCCATGCCCTTTTGGTGGGAATTCCTCAGGAAAGCAGTCCTGTGAGGATTGCTGCAGGGAGACAAATAGCTCAGTGGGAAAGCCCCCGAGGGATCTTGTTCCTGGATCTCAGACTGGAAAACAGGCCTCATGGGTGCTCCTCTGCTTTCCAAATGAGCCCTGAGAAAGCAGCATCACATCCTAGGCTTCATTTAATACCAGTGAGGCAGACAATGGTGAAATACAAATAAACAGTGTTAACACTTAGTGCTGTACTTGTAAATAGGTGCTGGTGAGGGCGAAGACTGGAAACACTCGACTTCCATGGAAACTGAGAATTGAGCAAAGGCAACATCTTGGGGTGAAAGGTGACATTTTGGATCACATGTTGAGGGAGAGAACATGTGCAGCCACCTTTCAAAACCACACTGCTGCTCTTATTTCCTCCTGAATATTTTCTCAGTGGTGGCCTTGACCAATTCCTTCAGCAGAGTGCGAGTCACACATCACAGATGCAGGGAAGGCAGTAAATTGCTTTCCTGAATGGGGCCTCTGCGCTTGCTTTGGATGGTGTGTGATCCCAGGGAGGACCTGCCGAAACCAAATTTGCTTGGCACTGGTTAGTGATTTTTGGAACCTGGTCGAAGCATGGAAAAACACCAAATAACAGATCTTATATAAATATAAGCTGGCAAAACCTTTAAGGGAGCTTTTTTTGTCTTTGTGGGAGACTTCTGCAATTAGGACATGGAGCACACCAGGAAATACATCACCAGAGCAAAGAGAACGCATTACTAAATTAGTCTGAGATGTGCCCATTAAGGACACTTTCTATATGCTCTGAAGTTGAAAGGCCAGAGCAGAATTATGTACTTTTTTTCCATGCAAACCAAGAGCTTATGTTCACATCTGCTGCCATCTATACGTCAGTCACTAACTTTGAGGAGTAAAAAAACATACTACAAAACCAAACTGTCCTATTTTCTCCTCTTTTCCCTTCTTAAATTTGCCATACACTATCAGGCAATATGATTAGTAATTCCCAAGTATGTAGAAAATAATTTGTTCTAGAATTAAAAAAGAAACCACAAAGGTAGTTTACAACTTCATTTTTAAAATGGATTTTTCTCTACACTTACAAGGTACTAACAGCTCGTAGAACACTAGAAACATCTTAACTTTATCAACCTTTAAAAGCTAAAAAATGCAAAGTTTCAGCCCACCCACACAGATGGCATTTTTCATGCTTCTGTATTTGAATACCAGAAAGACTTTCATTTTTCTCCCTCAATCTACATGTGTAAAATCAATCACAAGGCAGAAATCATTCTAAGACTTGCAACTGGCTTAGAAGCCCTTCTTGCCAAGGTTATCAAATCATGGGAAACTTGGGGAGCTGTGGTTTTTATTACAGCGTTTGGGGGGTTGTTTATTCCTTTTTTGTTGTTGTTGTTCCTCAAGGGAAGTTGATTTCCTAAAGGAAATCGACCAGCTGCAACAAAATACCAGGAAACCACTGACCAAGCAATGCATATAAAAATTGCAGTGACTAAATTAAAAACAATACTGGCTAATTAAAAAATACCAATGGGAAGTCCAAATATTTGAAAATTCAATTAAAAAACCTCTCTGGCACCCTCTCTGGCATGGATAAAGCTGGCATTTGCAGAACAGCAGCTTTCTCACCTGTCTCACTGAGATCCCGGGATCCCACGCTGGAAGGGTTGTTTTTGTACATTGCAATGCTGTTAATTAATGCTGAAACACCAACAATAGAGCATTGTGTGCATCCAGGCACCTTTTATGAGCACAGGGCCTTTTTTTCCTGGCTTCCTGCAAGAAAATTAAGGCTTAAGCTTAGATTCACTGTCAGCCTGGCATTCCAGTAAATATTAAGTTTATTTTAATTCGTACCTTTTATTTTCTCCTCTTGTTGTTTTCAGACTCTCCCTCCTCATTTAGAGGCAACCAGTAGTTTTCAGAAGTTTTCTGGGAAAGTAAAGGCCCTGCAAGGTGATGTCCAGGAGAGACAGGACGAAGTATCCTTCAAGGACAAGCTGAGAGAAACAGAGGGGCCCCACATCAAGGAAACACTCCAGGATCAGCTCAGCCAGTGCTTCACGGAGTGCCGGTGAGCAGAGATAAACACTTATCTAAATAAGTCCATTGCCTGATTTTGCAGTTCCTACAAACTGCAAAATCCATCTCGAGGCAGTGATCCTAGTCCCAGCTGAGGAGCTGGTTCTACCCCAGCTGCAGAGCCAGGACCCTGAGCTGCAGGTCTCCAGACTGGGGACATCACTCCTGGCAGGGATCAGAGGTGCACCCTGAACGCCTGGCTGTGCATCAGCTCCACAGACATTAAAGTGGGGACACCTTCAGTTTGCACATTACCTCAGGCTCAAGCCTTCATAATTATAAGAAGCACACTCTAAACTTTAGGAACACCGATTTTCTTCCCTGTCTGAATACCTAAGGTTTAAGAGAGTGAACTCACTCTTCCATGAGATAGAAGCGTAATTATTTGCCATAGCAAATCACATCACGTCACTGGCACTGCACTCCAGGTGCCTGCTGCTGGCATTATCCAGCAGCCCACATGAATCTGAAGTAGTTTTGTACTTGAGGCCTGACCTTCGAGACACTCCTCCAAATGTAACTTTACTTAAGCAGTGCTGCTGATCTCAGTGAAACTTCACGTCTCAGTAGAGTTAAGCACATACTTACACGTCTTTAAACCGAGTGCTGACACCTATAGTTCTCTCAGGCTTCAGCCAACGAAGTTTTGAGACTGGCAGTTTTCATATGGTCACACTGTAAAGTCTTTTACTAAGGAATATAGGCTGGTTTTATAACATAGCTGATTTTTTTCCCAGGATTTACCTCGTCTGATGGATTAGTATGTAAAAGTAAATTGGGAAGCAGCACCTTAAACTTCCAGGATTTAGTAGCAAGGTTTTGTCTGCTCTGCAAAGTGTTTTTGTGTCTTGAGCTGCTCAGTGATGTTACAGGGCTCATATTTGTCTTGTGGACTAGTGTCACATCCATTAATCACTCAGTGTTTTTTCAGTGTGCTGGACTTGCCTCCAGCATGCAGTTTCCAGTTGGAAACACAAATGCATTCTGATGAAATCCTGCTCTGTTTATTCCTTGAGTCCTTTAATCGGGTTTGGATAGCTGTGCTACAGTGCACTGTTTGATTAAAAAAGTGATCAAAAATAGCACCCTCACAGGTCTGCCACAATGTATTCCTCTTCTTTCTTGTACTTTTGCCTCTTATAGACACTCAAGGCTCCAGTGTATTTTTTTTTACTCTCTTTCTAAAAGAGCTGCCAGTTTTACAAACTTCAGTTATTGCAGAGCACTTCCCCATTCCCTAAATCAACCCTGCTCTTCTTGAGCTGCTATTTCCTGCTGTTCCCCACAGCTCCCAGCATGTTCTGAGGTACAGAAAGATCTTATTCTCTTTGCTTAATATTGCTCACCTAATAGTCATTCCCTAACGTAGGTCAGTCGTGTCCAATTAACTTCGCTCTAGAGCTTGAGGAGAACTAACTGAAATAGTGTGAACCAATAACAATGTTTCTGTAGGAGATTAGAGAATAAGGCTGAGCCATAAACCTCTTTTAAGACAGTTATGAGACATTATTAAAAGTTAAATCACTTAACAGCAGAGCCAACCAAGAGCCTAAGCCGTCCAGAGGATCATTTGGAGGAAGCCAAAGCCATCGTTCAACCGAGGGAGGTGGAGAGGGGTGGCTGAGAGAGCAGTTCATCAAAACCCTCGCTGCCTGAAGTGTGTGAGTCCTCAGCCTCTCGTACCTACGGAATACTCTGAAGGTGGAAGGTGGAGTGTAAATGCTGAGCTTTCTTTTAGCAGCCCTTACAAGTGAAATGGGGCCTCCTCGCTACATTTATATCCCAGGTGTGCCCAGGGGCCCAACTTCGGGAGAGACTTCAAGGCTAGAGGCAGACATAGGCAGTATCCCAGCATATAAATACGTGATTATACAACTTATAAGGTGTTCTTTAGCTAACCTTTGAGTTATCTGGTCCATCTCATCAGGTTCAGTAGTCTTGAATCTCATCTAGCCCTGAAAATTAACAAAGATTAAAGCAGATGTTTGAATATAAGCACCATATTAACTGATCTTGGATAGCTTTATGGGTGTGTTTTTCCTGAGCAAGGGATGGTGTGAAATAGGACAAAGACATACCCACACATTCTATAAGAGTGCTTATGGGTAAGCCTTTAGCCAGACATGTTCTGCTGCAGCTGAGACAGGCTGAGAAAACAGCTCCCCTCCAACCTTGGACAATAACCCACCCATCCGAAACAACCTCATATTTTGAAAAAATCAACAAAAAAGCAGTTTTAAGCATTTAATCAGACCGTTTTGATAGAAAATGGAGAAGATGTGCAGGTCTGTGGTACGTCTGAGAGCGGGGTCACCGCTGATGGCAGAGGGGCAGTGACAAGCCTGTTGCAGTCAGAGCAGTGTGTTTGATCACAGAATCACAGGATGGTTTAGGTTGGAAGGGACTTTAAAGACCATCTCATTCCAACCCCCTGCCACAGGCAGGAGCACCTTCCACTAGACCAGGTTGCTCCAAGTCTCACTGTACTCCCTGTTAACTCTCATATTAACTGTCCATCATGATCCCTAAAAATCAGTGACGGGAATGTTCCAGCCAAGACTAGACAGATCTCATTGATAAAAGCTATTCTGGTGATTTAGTAGCGTGGCAGATGAAATTCTGCCCCCAGTGAAGCCAGTGGGAGAGCTGCCATCAGCTTCAGCACAGGCTGGACATCACCCAGTATTTCAGCTCATTCCAATCTGGCTGAGTGATGCAGTGATTTATGGAGCTGCGAGGAATCAGAGGAGCTGTCTGCTGCCCTGCTCTTCACAGGAGGCCTCTAAGTGACCAAAATCATCTGCCCCACAGACACACCCACTGGCATCCAAAATAGGTTTTTAAAAAAAAAAAAAAAAAAAAAATCAGCAAATTTCTCACCAAGGGGAGCGTGTGTGTCCTGCAGAGCCAAACTGTCTGGGTGGAAATACCAGAGATGCTGCACAACCAGCAGGAATCGTGTCCTGCTCAACAGTGGGACAGGTCTGAAGTGTCCAAGTTTACAATAATTATTACCTGCCAGGATATATTTTGGCTCTCCCCTAAGCCTGTCTACAAGATCAACAGCTAAATGTAGCTTATAAATAATTCTTTAACTACAGTTTTTGACAGAGTTTCCCGTTTTCCATATTCTATTAAAGAAATAGATAAAGGCGAACAAAGATTCTTTTGAATAAATTTTGCTGTGCATACTGAGAAAATAAACCCAAACTTCCATATTTTATCTTTCACTCAGAAAAGAATGTGATAGAAAAATACAATTAGCAGGTATTGTCTTTCAGCACAGCTACTCTTAGATTACAAAAGCAATGAGTACATGTAAAATTTCTTAACCTGTAAGAACTGTGGTAAATATTTACCTCTTTCTTTGCACAAGGGAACAGCTTCAGTCATTTCAAGACCCAAACCAGCTTCTTATGAAGAGAAGTTCTAGAAAAACAAAAGAAAGCAAAACCCAAAGGAATAGATTAAATGAAATTGTTCCTGTTGCTTGTATCAATCCTACTGCGGGGAAGACAAAATAATTTCGATATAACCCTGCATTTTGCAGCCTTACCATCCATCGTTCTGTTTATCTGGGTTGGCTTCTGTGGAGCTGCTCTTATTTGGCTTGCAAATTATTCACATAAAGCTTTCTAGGTTTCCATGTGGCCTTGTCCAACCACGCTAGAAAGAAAAGATACTGTTTTGAAAGCTTTTTTAAAAGCATCCTGCACTATACCTATACTGGCCTCCCTTTTTTTTTTTTTTTTCAAGCTATGGTTGGTATTAGAAGGACTACAAATGTTCCAGAATTAACAGTTGCTATGATTATACACATCTGAGTCTGGATTTTAATCACTTGGCTCCCACAGATTTCATCCATTATATTAATAACAGAGTTTCATATTAAGATATAACTAGTGCATAGTTGGGGTTTTAGCTTCAATTTCCTGCACCATTCCAAACCAAACCCATTTTTCTCTAGTTTCACATTTAGGGTGTGAAATTGCCTTCTCCTCTCTTTACCCACTGTGCATAAAAACAGTTCCCAAATTACAAGTCTTCTTGGAGTCATCCCTAAAATGAATTAAAAAAGGGGTGGGGAAAAAAAGGCGAGAAGGATCCCTTTATTACACAGAGAAATATAACAGTACCTTTGTCTAGGACAAGCCTTCTCTGGCAGAAATCAATACAAAGGACGAGAACTCAAGATGAGGTTTTTATTACCAGAGATGGCCCCCGGGCTCACAGGGGAGAGCCTCATGCACAGGCTCTGCTGGGACGTGCCTCGTGCCCTCGAGCTGCAGCAAATTGCGCCGGGAATGTCTTGGAGGATTTCTGCGGCCCGGCTCGGAGCTCTGGGGAGCATTTCATCAGTGGCAGGGCTGACCTCCTAACAGGGGATCTCAGTAATAGCACTTCACACTCGTTATGTGTTATTCCCATGGATTTGGGGATTGCTTTTTGGGAGGAAGGAGGCGACGAGGGGTAAATGTGTTCTCATAATAGGTTTACACTTTACTGATTAGCTCTGAATGATCTTCTTGCTCTGCCTGCTGACTCCAGTCCTGTCAAAAAAAGAACTGGCCAAGTTTTGTGGTGAGGGAATGAGACTCCTCTTGAAACAGAGGGTTCCTGTGCTTTATTTATTCATTTTGAACATTCCTGACAGCCAGCCCGGCCTTTGATGCAGAGGAAAAGAGAAAGAAATAGGAAGTGATCATGTTATATTTCCCTTTTTTCACAAGGCTGTTTTGTTGAGCTGGGTTTACTGCCAATCCACCCGTTCATGGGACTCCCTGGGTAGCAGGGGGTGTGAGGAAGGAGGAGGCAGGAGGAAGATGAATGGAGAGAGAGAGGTTTTGCACTGAAATTCTACGGAATAGGGAACGTATTCATTGGTGTGAGGCAGAGGCCGGATCACATTTCACACTCTGTACACACTGCTCTTTATGGAGTGAATGGCAGCGGGCATGGAAGCTGCCAGGCAATCCATCAGAGCCAGAGCCTTGCCAAGAGGACAGAGAGGGATGACACGGTGGTAACCAGCAGAGGCACTCCCTCCCCATGACCCCTCCACTCTGGTTCCAAGGAATTGTCCCTCTGAGTCCCTCCAGACCCGTGTTCTTGTTTTTCAGTCCCATCTGGCTCATCAGACGCATGCCCTCAACCTGCCAGAAGTGCTTTCCAAGTAGCCTGGATTGCAGCCTCCACACAATATGGCAACAGCTGATGGAAAATATGGAACAGCTGATAGGAAAATTGCTGGAGGACCAGTTTTAGTGCCGTGAGCCACTGCAGCAGACAGTTCTCAAAGAGCAAGCTCCAGTCTGGGGGTCCTTGGCAGACAACCTGAGACATCACCGGCCCCTTGATCACAATCCTCTTTCCGTACTGTTACTCTGGAAAATTTATTCCCTTCTCTGCCACTCCTTCAAGGGCATTTCTGCTGTAGGAACCTACCAAAAAGTGCCTCTGGTATGTGGTACTTGATATTCAGCACAGCCAGGAGCTGCTTCCCATAGGAGCCATTTACAGGCAGGTGATGAACCACTGTCTTTTCCCCCAGTCCATATTGCCATTACTTGTTTTCCCTGTCAGCATCAAAGGATTGTCACACACTCAAAAACCACTTGTATGTGACCTTCCACTTGGGAGCAAAAGTTTCCAGGCAGAAGCAGCAGCTGTGAGCCCAACATAAAAATCAGGATATGGGGGGATAAATTAGTGGTTGTCTTCCAATTCCACCAGATGAGGATGAGCTAAAACTATTTCTAATAATTTAGAAATAACGATAATTCTAATAATTTCTACATTAGAAAGAGGTCTCTATCTGCACCACAATTTTCTCCTGTCCTTATCTGTTCACTGGAGTTGAATACATCTTCTCCTGCCGTCTGGTACTTTGGGCACTGAGAGCTTAAACACACCAAATTGTTCAGGGAATAGCACAAAACAAGTAGCTTCTCCTTCTGAATCCCTCTGCAGCCAGTCTTCATTGTGTCTATCATCTAAATCTTCTCCTTTTCCTCAGGAGAGCAAAGGCAAGCTCTGAATTGTGGCAATGAAGCTCTGAAAGAGGATGGCACAGGCTGGGGTGGCCTCTACTGCCCAAATACTTGGTCCTCCTGCAAAAGCACAAAGACAGTAATACAAGAGGCAACGTCTGGGGGGGGTTCCTATCAGTAGTTTCACCTCTTTTCCGACAGAACTAACAACTCCAGGTTTTGCCAAGGCAGTAATCTCTGTATCATAACAATTAGTGCTGGTGCAAAGTGCTCTCTGAGTGCCTTTCTCCCCTGCCAAAAGGTTGTTCTGCAGGGACGGCTCACATTTAACATCAATCTTCCTGAACACGGCTCAGCCTGCTCCCAGATGTTGGACTGTACCTCGTGTAGACAGTCAGTCAAAGCTAATTCCAAAATACAGCAGGAACAACACAGCAAAACCTGTCCAGGGCCCTGCATAAATATTCTGGCAGGCAGAGCGTGCTGAGCTCCTCTCTGCAAGCAGCCATGGCGGCGCTGAGTTAAACTACATCTGTGGGAACTGAAATCTTGCCTTTGGGCTCTAAGACTGATTAATTAACATAATTAGGAGCTGTAAACATTAATGGATAATGTTCAAGCCTTTCCTAACACATTCTTAAAGCTTCCACTGAGTAGTTATCTATTGACTAATTTTGGCAAACATCTTCAGGGCTGGAGGGAGCAAGGGAATGGAATACAAATGCATCTGGCTCACTGGAGGGGGGCACCAAAGCAAATAACCCACAAGGTTTCTGTGAACAGAGGGAGAATAAGTTATCAGAAACAAGAGGATTGTTTGTTTATGATGGGAGAGAGCGGAGCCTGCAGTTCTGCAACCTGTTTTCCCGTTGACTGGAATCCACTATCTAACTTGAAAGCCATTTAAAACAAAACAAGAACAAAAAACCCCATCAGTCCTTTCCTGCCTATGGGAACACCACACTGGTCTCTTTTAAAAAGTGTGAACCTCTCTAATTCCAAAGGAGGGACAACTGTTATTAAGTCCATCTGCAGTTAATCTCCTTTATTGGGTGTTCCTGGATTTACAGGAGGCAGGGGACACCTCTGGAAGCTTCTGTGCAGTGGCAGAAGTTGCCTACTAGTAAAAATTTACGGGAGTGCTGACATTAATGGAGGTGGCTGGATGGCTTTGGGGGGATCAGCCGGAAGCCCCTGGATCCATATATTTCTCATACTTGGTGAAACACCCATAAATCTTGGTGGCAGGTATCTGAGACAGTAAGACCAGTTGAACCCCGATGTCACACCTCCAGAGAGGCATTGATAAGATCACTAGTTCTGCTTTCTAAATCATCACAAACTCCAAGATCTGTTGTCTTTCCAGTCTTGTAATGCTCCTTGAGCTGACACTTCAATTTATGATTACCACCTCTCTGCAGTGATTAAAAACACATGCAGAGGGCTCTGCTGCTGATCCTTGATTTTGCTCATTGAACTATGAAAGGTTTGAAACTTTTAAGGAATGAAGATTCTTAAAACATCACAGATGCCAATCAAGTTTCCCAAGGGGTTTTCAACATAACAAGTCACCCTCATGAACTATTATTTAATCACCAAGTGCACCAATGCTGCACATAAGCACATCTCCACCAGTTTTCCAAGCACTGCTGTTCCCCTCCAGATAGACATTCAGATATCGTGAATCACAAGGTCATTAGGGATCTTCCCTGATTGATCTCGCCTTTCCCTGAGAGTTTTTGATTACTGACTTTGTCACTGAAAATAGGGTCAGGTCCTGATGTTATTTAACAGTCCTCATTCTAAGGAGACTCCCATCAGCTTCCAAGGGGATTCATAGATTAAGGCATTTTTGGTTTTGAGCAAGTTTATTGATTTCAGGACTTTTCCAGGGGTGCTACAACCAGGCAGAAGCACATAGTCTTGTTCCCCAAGTAGTGGAAAATCAGGGAAAACTGTTCCAGTCACATGGCACTCTAGGCTTTCTGCCTGTGATGAGGCATCTCTTGCAGGAATGCTCAGAACTTCAGGCATTTGTAAGCATACATCCATCTCTTCATCAGGCACAATTTGCATTGCACACCTCTTGCCACATTTGCATATAAATTATGCATTAACAACATTAAAAGCTCGTTGAGATCTCAACAGCCACACATTATAAAGCCATAATGAGCATGGTGCTTCTACAGACCAGGCTCTCCTCCACTTTTCTCCTCAACCTGCTTGTTTCTTGATCACTTTACCCAAAAAGACTTAACCTTTTCCCCACCCCATTTCTGTCCCAGTTTCTGTCTCTGTAGTTTTCACCTGCAAAGCTCTAAACACTGTGGTGACTGTAGACCAGATTGTCCAAAGCTCAGCCTGTGGAAATAGGATTTTTACAGGGATAGCAAAGACATTTCTGTTCCAAAAGGCAAGTTGACCAAAGGGAAAGATGAAACTCCTTGTTCTAAATCTTGTCAGCAGAAAGATGGTTCTAGTTAGACATTTATTTAGCATAACCAAAATTATGCCTTTAGCCATCCTCCATCTGGGAAAAACCTGAATCAATGGAGCCAATATTTTCAGACCTGTACATTGTAAA